ACAGTGACACTTCACTAATTTGCGGTATAAACAGATGAGTCCTTCCAAAAGTTAAAATCTGGTGTTTTTTGGTCCAACTGATTTTCATCCTTGGCGCCTTATCGAACCAATTACGTGCGTTCTGGTTGTCAACACATGAAGAAAAAGAAATGACGCAATATTCTGCGAGTAGGAAGTGATTGAGTCGAGCATGCTTAACTGTGACCTTCTCTAAACTGTTTCCAATCTGTGTCTGATCATCCAGTCCATAGAGACAGTGAGAGGAAAAACATACCTTAAGCAATGGCCAATGCACATCACAACACAGGCATCTGCCGTGAATGTCGATGCGAGCCTCTGAGCAGTCATAAGCATTTGATCGCTTCCTGTAACCGATCCTTTGTCTCTTGTCACTTCTCGACAAGTTCGAACCGAACACTCTGTTTTTCAAAGTATATGATACGAATAAACTCTCTTTGCGTACTCCATAAGCTGATGTTATTCCTGTCAGACGGTACTTGATCCGTTGTACTGCAGCCCTGAAAGAAAGCCACACTACTCATCTCGAAACGTTAATTTCACAACGTCCGCCTTCTCCTATCCAAGCGCTTCACGTAGATTTTAGACAGTAGGCGAAAGAGAGGAATGTTTCGGTTGTTGCAGCTGTCTTTCTGAACTCCTGACCTCATAAGGAACTGATGTTTCTTCTAGAATTCACGAATTCTGGGAACTAAACAACCAGAACTTCAAAATCTTTAACAACTCAAGCGGAATTTCATTTTCCACGCGAATTTGCCACTTTTCAGCGGTAGTCTCTGTTGACACCGTGGCCATTGTAAGGATACTGTTCGTCTTAAATTGCCCTTTCTGAGAATCAGAACGGTCCATAGACCCGAGACTGGATTTATGATGCTCTGAAATTAGCGTGGAAAAATTGAGCATCGTTTTCAAACAAACTCGATTCAGCAAACACTCTGTGCAATATTACTACTGGTGAAGAGAGTTAAAAGAATTCTGTGTAAAAATATTGCATATCAATTGATAAGGCCCATAAGAAGCATGATTTCACAAAATCTGATTTCAAAAGGTTACGACAACTCTCTATAGATTCTTAGATCACCATTTATACAAGGTGGTAGCTCAGTAATCTCTTGAAACTCAGATTTGTGAAACTATTGTTTGTAATTTACAGCCAGCACAAAATCCTATTATTGATATTGCTGGGACAGCAAGCATAGAGCGAATCCAGAAAAATCTCTGGTGATGAATAGAATATTGCTCTTGTGAGTGAAGTGAAACGGGTGCACGCCCGGCTCTGACGTATTGTCGAATTCTAGGCTGCTTAAGTAGTTCTCTAGAAATTTAAGAGCAAGGAAGCATTATTTTAGCCTCACTAAATGCTATCTGAGCTTGCAGCAAGTTATCGGTGTGCGTGCAGAAATACCGGATCGATGACCAGCTGTTAGAAGGTGATCTAGCTGTCAATAGATGTTGATAGAAGGTACTATGTTAGGGTAAATGGCGTTAATTTGCGACCTGGCCTCCACCAATGTTTCCTTCGGTCCCCTCTCTTGCTTGCATTGCACATAGTAAGGAGCAGCCAGGGCGACGAGTAAATCGTCGACCTCGACTCGTTTTTGTTGCTTTCTTCCGAAAGTGATCTCCCGAGCTCTTTGAAAAGGTTGGCAAACGAGTGCAATGTGAACGTGTCTAAAATCCATGTACAAGTGAATTGTCGTTCCCCTGCCAGCCGTGTCTGCAGATAAATGAAAGATCGGTGGAACAGGTGTGGAAGTGCACAATTCTTCTGGATTGTGCTTAAAGGTTATAGGAAATGTGAAGAACAGATCGATTGGCGGATAGAGATGGCCAGCACGCTCTGCGTGAACTTTCATGAGCTGTTGCAACTAAGGCAGAACTCAGTATGTCTGACCGACGGACTGGCTGGGAACATCTTAATGGCTACATGAAGTTTAGGCGTAAACTTTTACATTTGGCTAACATATTAGAAAGGTCAGGTCTGCTTTGCGCCCCTTATGATCTGGAAAAACGAGGTTTTCCATAACGGCAGTGAAATTTGACCATTGTGATTCATTTGTATTTCATAATGGCAACTCGAGAGCAACACTTAAGCCGTCGTCCTCCATGGTACAACATATACACACAAAGAATAAAGGCATAGCCAGTGTTCCTACAACGACCATTACGAACATCGTTAAAAAAGAAAGAGCGCTGTTGAAAGATTATGGTAGAGTTGTCCTACAATTAAAATATTCAGTACGTATCAAGCCATATTTTTGCAGTTGCTGCGAAAGCTCATAGGTTCCGGTTCCTAGCACTCTCTTGATGTCGGTTATGAGCAGGGTGTAATTTCAGCTAATAAAGTGAATTGATGTGCAGTCACTTATAGCCCATGTTAAGACACAATGGCACCCTAGCTCGTTTTAATGGCTCCATTCAAATATCCAACAATGAAGAAACGGTGTCATATTGCCGTGAAGCCCGGTTTGAAAATATCATTGCTTTTCGGGTAGTTCTAAGCTAATTGAGTCCAAGAATGATTAAAATCTTTCCTTTGCTTTCTTTACTGCAACAACGGATTAGGCTTAACGGTATGTTTGCACAGATCGCGCCATGTTTGTCAGATGCTTAAAATGCGTGCTTGGGGTGTTATTCTGGGAAGAGACGTTGGAGGTCATATATCCTTGACTGACGATATTGAAACAGAGCAAACGCGCAAACGGATTGTAGAATACATACAGTTTCCCGCGATGAAGATTTTTAAAGCAGAGGGAAACAACGCTTGGCTTAAACTTGATTCTGCGACGACGTCAAAATGCAGTGCATGGCCTTAGCGATTGTCGTTTTGAGGTAGACGCTGAAGCGGTCACGCGACGATATCTGCCGTCCATGTCGCACGAGAGTTTGGAATCAGTTCGGCTGAAACAGCACCTTACAGGTTCGGAGGTAGCGACCGTCAGGGTCCATTGCTCGTGCAGTGGCCTGCCGTGGTCGTCATGTTCAACGTGGTGTTTTCGGATTCATCTATAGGTCTTTCAAGATCGGGATGTCAGCCATCTCCGCCACGCTGCCATGGCGGCGATGATTAATAATGAGTTACATTAATCGAATTTTCTAGCCTATTCCGCCGCATTTTCTCCTCCTTTTCAAAAAGTTTTTAATCTGGTTAGCTCAAAAGATTTTGCGAGAAATTCATACGATGCAGTAATCTCCAACGAAAATCAATGGTCATTGTGAACGCTTCTGAAGGCTAGAGAGGTCATGTGCAGTGAGAAGCTGAAATTTGCTGCTCAAAGCAGCGTCTCATTGGTAGTTAAATCTGCAGCAGAAATGGTCATTTTTTACTCATCTTCCACAATGTCACTTGCTCTTGCCAAGTGATAAATGCGCTTCTGCATTTTTCTTATTTTAATAATCTTAGATTGATCGCTTTTTTTCTTTTATTGCCGGCTGCAAGGATAGTTGAGAACGTACCTAAAAAGGTTTTGTTTCTTCTGACAAAGGAAGACCGTTCGCTTTTGTACATTTAATTGGCGAATATGGTGACTTGACTATTCCATGGGCCATAGGAACAACGGAGTTCTATCGAACGCCTTTCAGGACAAGCTCAGACGATGATTCGTGATCAGCAACCGTGTAATACCTCGCCAGATTTAATGACAAGTTCATGGTCTGATCGTTATAGCTTGACTATTAGGCACCTGAACTATAAAACAAACGATCCATCTACCTGTCAGCCGTTATAGCCTTTTTTATACTGTGCCATTGGCCGTTTAAGCGATAATTGACTAGAGCGAAAGTCCGCGAAATCTTCTGTTTACATATCCTTGCTTTACAGTCTCATAATTACAGACTCAGCCATTTATCTCACAGCTGCAGGAGCTCTTTTTGCTGGAGACATACTGTAAACACTCAAAGCAGCTTAAACTGAACAGTGGAAAGAGGCCATCGACACTTTCTGTTTCTTTTGAAAGACATTATTTCTCACAGGATCTCCAAAATCACACTTTGTAACCGAAATGAGTCAAACAACTGTTTCCCGTGGTTAATTATATTTGGAGCACTTCGCGGACGGCTGTTATAGACATACCACAAACTAGCGCATTTCAAATCAAACCAGCAGGACACGGGAAACGATGAAAGTCAGGAAGTTGCAAAGTCAGCGAGCTACACTCCATTGACTGCCTATACTGACAGTCTTACTGACTGATGATTTGAATTCAATAAAACGCTTTATTCCGGATATGGTATCGGTTGGATAGCAGTCGTACATAAAGTAGAAGAAGAATGATTTCATTCAAATTTGTAAATAAAATTAAATGCAGATCATTTTGAATCCCAGTAAAAGACGATCTTCTATCAGAGATTGATAGCTTGATGCTTCTTCAGGTTTTTTGCCTATGGTTTTCAATCCCTCCAGTCGATCAGTCAGTCAATCAAGTTTATTTGCTTGAGCAACGGGAGCTGTTATCGACAAAAAAGCTCAGTCACAATTTGCGAACAGAAACTGAGCATGAATTAAAATTACTAACAAAAATTAATGACGCAACAAAATTCCGCTCTCAATGTCTCATGGATAAACTACTCTCAATCTGCTTTCTCTCTTCTAGTTGTCTGAGAACACTGACTCACAATATTGCTCTGCACGTTCGAAAATGATCACAGTTTGAATGATCACATATATATCGAATACATTTAGCAGATTTCAAATTACCCCCTAGTGCACAGATGTCAAGATCTTTTGTAGACTGAATTTGACTTTACACGTCCCCCACGTGGCAGCGAGCCTCTCACAAACCGATATCGCAGTCGACGTCATCAAACCTGGTCATCTGTGTATTTTCATGATAATACAAGACACGAAGGGTGGCCCGATGGGCATACTTGCGCACTTGCTTAAAATGTTTGTCAAGTTGCAACATTATTAAGCTAACAGTCATTTCTAACACCACTCTGCAGAGAGCTCGTTCAATCGGTAGAATGTCCGACTCAAAATCGATAGGTCCATAGTTCGAGCCCATTCATCCTTCCGACGTTGACAAATCAGTACCACTCTTTGGGAAGAAAACATCATATTACACGCTATGCCTGTCACATAAACAGATTCTGCCTTTAAAGGGTACGCGTTACTGACGAAATAGAAACAATCATCAACGCCCCACTGGAAGCTTGATGAAACAAAAAGTTTTAAAATTGGCCTTCAATCATGAAAGTGTAGGAAAGATGGACATCCCGACCGTTGCAAATTTTCTTTTTCAATACTTTTGTTGAAGAGTGATTCGCTGGTTCATTTATTTTTGTACTCATAGTTTTTAAGGCTGTATGTTCAGCAGCTATCAGATTCTGTGGTACGACACTGTCAAGTATCTAAATTTCCCTTTCGATATGATCCTAATTATTCCCCTTGGTTGCCTGTGAAGTTGATCTTGAGATTATATTCAGTATCACATGTCTCTGACCGGTACTACTTGTTGTGCCCAACGATAAGCGAAATTAAAATCGCTTGATAAGGAGAACAAGCCTTTCAGAAACCGAAATAAATGAACCCCATGTATCAAATCACGTCAATACTCACCGCGTTAACAATTCTTTAGAAATAAAAACTTGTATGCCTATTGAACTCCACCGTTGCCGATCCCAAGCCAGGATGAGAAAGGAGGAGATTTGGAGACCGGGCAAGTCTCCGTAAAATTTAGCCACCTGCCACTCATGGTATTGACGCCATCGAAAATTATACCCGCTCGGTCGTCGCCCGGGTTACCAAGGGACGCGCTGGCTGTTGAGCGACTGAGGCAGACTGCGAAAAGTCGACCATCAGAAGCCGCGCATTGCCCTCAGCAGCCGGAGGCGTAGCATCACGACAACATCTGAAGATCGACGGAAAGACGACAAACATACCAGTCAGAAACGGAGTCTCTCTCTGTTCTGAACAGAGGAAGCAGACAACGCGATGCCATTATAGCACGTCAGAAAAGGTTCCATGAGAACAACACCACCAGTGGGAGCTAAAAGTCGGAAATTGGAACATTCACTCACTCAGTGGAAAAGAACAAGAATTGGTTCATGAGGCCATAAAGTACCAAATCGATATTGTTGGACTCTCGTCAACCAAACGCCTAGGCTCTAGACTCCTGAACCACAATGGATGGAAGCTGTTCTACTCAGGTGTTGATATTACGACTAGCGCTCAGGCCGGTGTTGGCTTTCTGGTAGAATCCAGCCTAGCCGATAGAATAATCGATTGGAGGCCTGTCAGCGGAACAGTGGCATTCCTCCGACTGAAGCTACAACAGACTAAATCGATGACCTTGGTACATGTCTATGCGCCCATTTGGAAG